AAGGTCAGATGACACCTGCCAGTTGGACATGTACACCTTAGTCCTTCCATACACGGAATATACTAGACCTATTGCTTATAGTATCTGCGATATGGACTTGACCACCAAAACTTAACCTTGTTCATTGATCCATGAAATGAGGTCAAGGTCAAGTGAAAACTGTCTGACGGGCATGAGGACCTTGCAAGGTACGAACATACCAAATATAGTTGAACTATTGCATATAGTATTAGAAAAAAAGACCAAAACTCAAAAACTTAACTTTGACCACTGAACCATGAAAATGAGGTCAAGGTCAGATGACACCTGCCCGCTAGACATGTACACCTTACAATCATTCCATACACCAAATATAGTAGACCTATGGCATACAGTATAAGAAAAACAGACCAAAACTCAAAAACTTAACTATAACCACTGAACCATGAAAATGAGGTCAAGGTCAGATGACACCTGCCAGTTGGACATGTACACCTTAGTCCTTCCATACACGGAATATACTAGACCTATTGCTTATAGTATCTGAGATATGGACTTGACCACCAAAACTTAACCATGTTCATTGATTCATGAAATGAGGTCGAGGTCAAGTGAAAACTGTCTGACGGGCATGAGGACCTTGCAAGGTACGCACATACCAAATATAGTTGAACTATTGCATATAGTAATAGAAAAAAAGACCAAAACTCAAAAACTTAACTATAACCACTGAACCATGAAAATGAGGTCAAGGTCAGATGACACCTGCCAGTTGGACATGTACACCTTACAGTCCTTCCATACACTGAATATACTAGACCTATTACTTATAGTATCTGAGATATGGACTTGACCACCAAAACTTAACCTTGTTCATTGATCCATGAAATGAGGTCGAGGTCAAGTGAAAACTGTCTGACGGGCATGAGGACCTTGCAAGGTAAGCACATACCAAATATAGTTATCCTATTACTTATAATAAGAGAGAATTTAACATTACAAAAAATCTTAACTTTTTTTTCAAGTGGTCACTGAAACATGAAAATGAGGTCAAGGACATTGGACATGTGACTGACGGAAACTTCTTAACATGAGGCATCCATATACAAAGTATGAAGCATCCAGACCTTCCACCTTCTAAAATATAAAGCTTTTAAGCAGTTAGCTAACGCCGCCGCCGCCAGATCACTATCCCTATGTCGAGCTTTCTGCGACAAAAGTCGCAGGCTCGACAAAAATTATATTTATTATAGGTCTAAATTTTTCACTTATTAAATGACGATTCAATAAAGAATAACTGCATTGTATACCTTATACAATGCTATTTAAGCATTCAAATTGTATTTGGGGATATAGAAATACTGGGCGATTTTTATGAAACTTATATCATAGGTTTATATTAGCAATGTTTTGGATGAGTTCAAAAAACAGTGCCAATCAATTATTTTTAAAAGAGTTATGCCCCTTAGAAAAATTAATTATATGGAAAGGAAAATTGCATCATTAGTGCTCTCATGTGTACAATTCTTAACGGATTTTTATGAAACTTGTATCATAGGTTTATATCAGCAATGTCTTGGATGAGTTTGAAAATCAGTGCTGATCAATTAATTATAAAAGAGTTATGCCCCTTGGAAATAATGATTATATGGAAAATTGCAATATTAGCACTCTCATGTGTACAATTCTTGCCAGAATTTTATGAAACTTATATCATAGATTTATATCAGTAATGTCTTTGACCAGTTGGAAAATCAGTGCAGATCAATTATTTTTAAAAGAGTTATGCCCCTTGGAAAAATTAATTATAACGGAAATGGCATTGCATTTGCTCTGAAGCCTTCATTTCTCTAAGATATTTATAAATTGTTTTAAAGAACAACAAAAAAGTGTTTTATTTAGTCATTGCCCTTGTACCTTGGATAGATAAAATATGTGCAACACAGGGGACATTGGAACTCTGTTCTTATATTACCCTATAATTTTAGGTTTAAACAGTCACTGGCTATATATAAAGACTTGTTTGTGACTTTGATAAAGTGTTTCTTTACTGTTTAATCTGTGACATTGTGCAGAATGCAGGTTCATGGCAATTTTAGTGGTCTGGTTCATATTTGTTGTTTTTATTACAAAATATTTCATTTGGAACAATTCTAAGTGTTGCATTGTATATATATAACCACCAACCATCATATTGTCTCAAAACAATTTTTATTTCTACTTGGTTCGAAATAGGATAGAAATGATTCATAATCTACCTGTTTCTGTACAGATAAATACTACTAAAGGGTGTTTAACAACCTTGACTACCCATGAGGGTCTTGCACAGTCTGTTACAGATAAATTATTTCGTAAAGACATTAAATACTTATATGAGTGAGGAGCTATATGAGCAAAAGGAAAATAAACAGAAAAAACAAATTCACCTACGGTCAACTTTTAATTAGAGAGCTGCAACCTTAGTAAATAAAAATAATTTCTTAATTCATAAGAATAGGACTTCTAAAACCTGAAAGTACTTTGAGGGAATTTGAATATAACAAAATATTTAATTTACATAAAAATAAAAATAATATCATTTTATAATGATTTTTCTATATACATTAAAACAACAATTTATTAAAATTGAACTTTTTCCATAGTTATAGATTTACATGCCAACAATAAATGAATGCATTCATTAATTAATACAAAAAAAAAATCATAATCCTGAGGTATTACATATATACCTTTATTTCTCAACAAATAAGAGTACATTGGTATAGAGATATAAGAATGACACATTGTTGATTTTTAAATTGGAGATCAATTTGAGCTTTTAATAATAAGAAAATGTTTAAAATAGCTTAAATATGGAAAATTATAACTGATCTGTGAATTTCATGATAGTGTGGAATAAATGTGAATAGTAAGAAAGATTTTGTTGAACCTTTTTACTAGATATTAAGGATGTTCACTGATCTTATTTTTTGACTTTTTGTCAGATATTCCGAATCCTCTGGTTTTATCCATGTAGTGCCATTAAAAATTTTGCCCACTAACTCATGCTTTTCTTTTCATAATTTTATTACATATAGTTGCAAATCTTATAAAATCTACAGTTATTTTCCAGTTTTTGAAAGAAAAAAGGGGCCAATGCTAATTATAGAAAAAATCTAGAAAGAATGATTACCTGCCAAATTTTCAATGACTTCTATCTCAAAAACAAGGGCACATACCTTTCATTTGTTCCTGCTATTTTAGTTCAGTTATTTATATACTATCAATTCAGTGGCGGATCCAGAAATTTTCATAAGTGGGGGCCCACTGACTGCCTAAGAGGGGGCCCGCTCCAGTCATGCTTCAGTGATTCCCTATGTAATCAACCAAATTTTTCCCAAAAAAGGGGGGGACCGGGCCCCTTGCCCCCCCCCCCCCCCCCCCCCCCCCCCCCCTAAATCCGCCTCTGCACTTTATAACAGTCTTACAAATAGCTTGTTATTTTGAAATAGAGCAGCGAATATCCTTAAGTGGAAATAAAAAATACAGACATGTAAGAACATTGAAGCAATCTTTTGTATTAAAAGTATTAGCCTCATATTATTAAACATTGAAAAAAAATCCATGCATGCTCAGTATTATAAAGATTCAAAATATCATCAAAAAGATAAGAGACTACCCCGGTGAGAACATCTGGTAAAAAACTTACCGGTACTCAGTACAACTCGGCATTAAAATGCTCCAGATAAAATATCAAATGATTCCCTAATATAGAAGCTGAATACTGGTAGTATGTAAAGAAATGCCTAGTGGGTATACATGTAAATAACATTTAAAAATATCTTCAAACAGAAAGTGTCTGCCTAGCAGGTCCAAAAATTCATTTATACTGTAAAACTCAATGATTTTATTGTCTCGACTAGATATCATGTTGTTCTTCAATAGACCTTATTGCCATTTACTCAAATCCAGATAAGTTCTGAAAATTTTTTCGTGAAGTAACAATTTAAACCAGTTGAAGCTTACTGGGGCCCTGTTTAAACAATGTAATGTGCATACAACTTTTCGAAGACATGTTTAAATCATAGTATTTGATTTTTGATTTATGGTGTTTTAATGCCACTTTTAAGCACCGCTTTTGGGCTATTTCGAGGCGGCCAGTTTTTATTGGTGGAGGAAGCCAGAGTGCCCGCAGAAAACCACCGACCTTCGATAGGAAAACTGACAATCCTAGTCAATTAAGATTGGAGTCGAGTGGAGCGTGGTTCGAAATTCACAACCTCAGTGTTGACTGGCTAGTGATTACAGTAGTAACTACTTAGACCACTCGGCCACCGAGGCCCCTAAATCATAGTAAAAACTTCAAACCTTTTCAATGAATTTAATTTGTCTTTGTTCTTAAAATATCCAAATTTTAAAATGTGAAATTTCCTCAGTATATAACTGATGACGTTTGCCTTGCAACGTGTGACCCAAACAGGAAGTTGTTTAAGTAACAGTTTTTTCCAGATTGGACAAGATAACGATAATGCTTATGCAGATGCTGAGGACTATGTAACTAAAAATGCTGAACAGATAAAGTTAATGCAATGTACCACCCACTCTGGGGGGTATAATAAAAATTGACAATTTACCCTTTCTAAGAACATTGGGAAATCTAAAATGATAGATTTAAAACACACAAAGCAACTCTTGATGCTTGTATATCCATGTAGAAAGGGACATGGGGGTCTAGATCGGAGTCTCATTTTTTTCCCTTTTAACTTTTTAGGCCATTTTTCTCTTTTCTTTATTTTTGGCCAATTATTCCCTATTCTTTATATTTTAGCACCACATTTTTCTCTATTCTTTTTTTATTTCGGCCTATTGTTCTCTATTCTTAATCCCCCCTTTAATCTGTACTTTTTGCCCATTTTTCTCTATTCTGTAATCCCCATCCAGATCCCGATGCATTAATTGTTGTAACTCAATAACAGAAGGCTTCTTTTGTCAAGAAAACGATGAGTTACAATCCAATAATGATTTCCTCACAAATTATTTAAAAAAAAAAAAAAAAAAATTGACACATATGTATGATGTGAGATAGAATCGTTTGTGTCTTGATGGTTGTAAATGAGCACCAAATCTATTAATATATATAAGTTAGATCCTTGTTAACATTTGTTCTTCAGGATCATTAGAACCCCTTCTATCTAGCTTTGGCAAGCCTTTTTTGACTCGAAAAATGAAATTCCTCCACTTCCGGTTCCTATCGCAACTGGTTTCCTTTGGCCAAAAAACTTGATTTATTTTCTTATCCTGGGAACCAGAGAGAATAATATGAGTAACTTCTCTCCCTTTAAACGTTGACAGACATCTTTCTTCTAAGTCTCCTACTTCTCCAACAATAATGACACAGGCACACTCCTGACACATAGTATCAAGTAGGGTTGCCAATACTAAAAGAAAAGATACAAATGAATATATTCATTAACTTTAGTTGATACATAATACACCAATTCACTTAGACAAGGGAACAATTGTATATTTTTTTACTTGACCATATGGTTCTAATCTGGCCAAAATTCTACAAATTTTAAATAGAAATATTTGGATTACATTGTATAAAAATTAATACAAAAATGTTTTTTTTAGGTACCTGACATTATTAATCACAACATTGGGACCCCTTAATTAAGCTTAATTTGTGTTATACAGGGGAATTCATTATTCATGGGATCCAAATGTTCATGGGAACAGATAAACCAAGAATTCAAATGTTCAACAAAGAACATATTTTTCATAGGCATTGTATGCAGACTTTTGTTAAACCACAAAATCACTTCTAATGCAACATCATTTGTAATGTTCATTTTGATTGGATAACGTCACCAATTTTCATGGCATCAATTCACAATGCACAAACGTACGCACAAGCACAGACGACGTATGACAGATTTTAAATGTATGATTTGACGTTGTTTTCTGTCAGTTTCATTAGAATGGAGATAACAATATTGTATTTTAAGCTCCGACGGCATCAATTGGTGATTTGATGGTTGCAAATACCCGTTTACTGGCTTCACTAATGCGTAGCCAGTAAACTTAATTTTCGACTACCAAATCACCAATTGATGTCGTCAGAGCTTAAAATACAATAAAGTTATCTCTTAAATATAAAAAATACAACAATTATTCCTTAATTAACAAACATTGGAATGAATTAGTAGATTTTTGTACAAATTTAGTTTTTTCTTCTGTTACAAATTTAAGGGAAGAAACTGACCAGATATACAGTTGTCATTTTGAAATTTTTTCCGTAAATGCCAATTTGCTTACAATTACAATTCTACTCATTATTTGCTCTTCTCCTTGTCAATCATAGTACTCTATCCAACTATACTAGTCAAATGTTGTTTCTAAAGATTGTCATGGGCATCTGAAGTTTACAAAAGCAGGCTACAAATATTACTTGGTTATAATTACCAACATCCTGTTTTTATTTTTAGAAATTAAATAGACAGTACATGCAGTACTGAATATGCTAAATAAGGTTTTATTTTTCATTTTCGTTTGAATTATTTTACATTTGTCATTTTGGGGCCTTTTATAGCTGACTATGAGGTATGAGTTTTGTTCATTGTTGAAGGCCATACAGTGACCCATGGTTGTTAACCTTTACATCATTAGTTCTCCTGTGGAGAGTTTTTTTTTTTTTTTTTTTCATATTCATACTTACAATAACCAGCTTGTTGATCAGCAGAATCAGGCCCAGGAGGATATTCTCTGAGATTATACCCGTGTAGTCCTGATTTTAATCTTTGCACCTTGTCATATACTTCTGCATCTTCATTGTATAGTATAAGACCATGGAATGACTTATCACCTGCCAATACATAAATACTTACTATTATAGCTAAAATATATGACTGTGTATCAAGTACATATAATTTTAGTTTTCTTGTTTTGATAGCTATCAAGTACATACAATTTTAGTTTTCTTGTTTTGATAGCTAAGCCATGAATTCATTATCAACTAATGTTAATATAGAAATAACTCAAATCTTTTTTTTTATGTAATTCTAATTACAATTTGTAGAACATATTTCAAATATAAATTCATGGAGATATTTAGTATTCAATAATTCAATAACAATAATATTAATAAAGGATTTATTTAATGGGGAATTATGCTACTGTCTATACACATACTCATGCAAAGTGGCATGAAAACAATTTCTACTGGACCTTACCTTGATGGTAGTCATATGTCATATCTTATGTCCCCAAGGGTGACTGGGGAATAGAAAGATTGTCACTTTTGGTCTTCTTCCCACCAGCATAAAAACCTTGCTTAGGTTGGGCTTATGTTTAGTTGTGTAGGATGTATAAATAGGCAGTCGTCCAATCAAGTTAGGGATGTTATATCCAATGCCTTGTGTAGAGAGTTTTTATCATGCTCTCTGCATGTTTATAATCCTTGCAACAACTGTTTAAGGGGCCGTAGGGAGCAATAGGGGGCCCATTGCAAGACCTAATTTCTGTCCTTATCCAATAAACCCAAATTTACCACGTTTCATCAGTGTCAAGCCCTATTTCAGGACATATATATATACCTTTCATATTTATTGATAATTTGTTTTTGTCCTGAACATGCATTAAATATTTGCCACTGGACTATAAACAAACAAGAATCAATAAATCAATAAATAAATAAATAAATAAACCAATCAATCAATCAACCAATCAATTAATCAATCAATCAATCAACCAATCAATTAATCAACCACTAAACCAATCAATCAATCAACCAATCAATCATAACTGGGAATTATTTTGAAAGATGAGTTTTGATGTCAGATCTTTGATTGTTTTTGTTAAATTCATTCACAACTTTAATAGAATCAGGTTAGGGCTATTCCATTGAATGTATGTGGGAGGGTAGGAAGGGACTTTCAAAATATCCCAACCAAGAACCATTTTTTAGATAATTTTGCATAATGGTATTAGACGCATACTGAAAAAAGACCCATGACCCACATTCAATAATCAAACTTCCCTTCCTACCCTCCCACATACATTTTAATGGAATAGCCCTTAATTAAAGCTTGACATATTGTATAGACGCCTGTTTATTGTTAAATTACAATATATTCTGCTGTCGAGATGTCATTTGGTTATATGTCAACTTTTGGTTGGAAAACTGACAATCCTAGTCAATTTAGATTTGAGTTGAGCGCAACTGCCACATGAGGGATTCAAACTCACAACCTCAGTGTTGACAGGCTAGCGATACAGTAGTTTGACTACTTAGACCACTCAGCACCCTATGCCCCAAATATTTGGCTTTGAGCGTTCCTGATGAAAGTAAATCCAGACAAGTGCTTCGAACGCATGAAATTTATACAATGTTGTTATCATTTTATACAGCACTGGGTTGATACCTCTGCTGGTTTGACTATCAGTCCTAGAGAGTATCATCAGCTCAGTAGTCAGTACTTTGGCACTGACATGAATTATAACAAACCTTTCTTAAATTGTCTGTTTATGTATTTAGAAATTATACAGTAACTAAAATTTCGACTCCCTCAGACAAAGATGACCTTATATGGATATGGCTACTTTTGTATGTCCTTTTAGGTTATATAGCTCTTCAACTGTTCGTTTCCTTGGCTTTCAAATTTTTGCCTTTCAGAGTTCCTGATGAAGGTAAATCCAGAAAAGAACTTCGTATGCATGAAATTTATAATGTGCTGTTTTCATTTTTTGACATGCAAAGATGCAAAACAAGTTCATACCTCTCTCTGGTAAGTTATGACGATAAAAGATCCAGTAAGTAATTGGTGGATGACAAAGGTAGATAATTCCAGCTAAAATGATAGACACAATAACAAATGACGCTAAGACGGGCAGCAGTATCTTTACATCAACTTTTTTATCTTCTATGGTGGGTGAATCTGAAAGAACATGCACAGTCATTGATAAACAGTTAACTCACTGTAGAAAAAAATGTTTTTAAGATTGACTGAAAAAAGCAGTTTTCCCTTAAGAATTCACTGGGTGCAGAATTTTCTCTCTGTGTTGAAGACCCATTGGTGGCCTTTTGCTGTTTTCTACTCTTTGGTCCTGTTGTTGTCTCTTTGACACATTCCCCATTTCCATTCTCCATTTTATTGTTAAAATTGAAAGCAATGGTATTGTTCTCATAACTGATTCAAAGAGTTCTTTCACTTAGGAGATTTAACTTGTGTTGAGAGCATTTTGCCAGACTTATTTTTACATCATCTGATATCCTTTTTTTATATATACAGTTAGAACTGACTACTTGCTTGAAAATTGTAGACTGTACCCTGCTAGTACACAGTACCTTTTTCAAGTAGCCATGCAGTTAGTATAGGTAACATTCCATTTACGTCGAACATTCGACATTCTACTTTGATACCAAGGTCTCCTTTTCTGACACTCATCAAGGTTAAATTCATGCTAACTATAACACGTCCATTTTCAATTCTGAAAAATATTCATAACAAGCATGACGAAAAAAACTGTTGAAAACTGATTATTTAAGTGAATTTTCTATGTCTAAAGACCATAACTAGGCACAAAATTATCAGACTGGAACAAAATTCCAACTTGATCTGTAACTTGTCATGATAAAACTATATACTAATTATCAAATCAACATCTTCAAGAATGACAAACAAACCTACCACTAAATTCTTCAAACAATTTACCAAAGAAAAGGAAAAAAATCCAAAATGTCATTTTGTCTTATAAAAGGCTTTTAAAAAATGAGTTATTTCCCTTTGAACAGAAAACTACTTATTAATAAGTATTTCATCAAAAATTTAATTCTAGGGAAAGGGCTTTAACTGAACAAAGAGAAAAGCTAAAATCGTGAAAATTGAACTTGACCTTTAACTTGTCATGATAAATCAATAAACCAAATATCAAATCAATATCTTCAAGCACGAAGAAATAACGTCTGGAAAACTGATTTGCCAGACTGATAGATGGACAGACAGACAGACAGACGGAGTGCAAACCTAAAGTCCCCTTCGACTTCATCGGTAGGGGACTAAAAATCATTGAATTAAACACTAGTCTGTATATAGACATCTTTCTATTCTTGAAGATTATATTTTTACCTCTAAAGAGTTCGGGGGCCTTGGTGGTTGAGTGGTCTAAGTAGTTCATCTACAGTAATTCATTGTCTGCTCGGGGCAGGAGTGTTTGACTCCTACAGTACTTGCAACCTTAGGCGTTACTGTTTGACGTGAACTTGACTGATCGGTGAATGATCGGTGACGGATGTTTGACTGATCGATGACTGATCGGTGATCGATGACCCATAGAATCCGTCAGATACGTCAAATAGGCTATGTGAGAGTTACTGTGACAACGGCCAGCGATTGATCAGTAAATTAATTGTATGCACGGATCGGACGGATACATATATAATTAAAATTCTTATGTAAAACGAACTCCACAGTATTTACAGTCGATAAACGCGGACCTCTATGAAGACACCTTTACTCGTTAATTATGTACCACTAAAAAGCGATAAAATGTTATCATTTAAAATAAGTACTCTATTTGTTGTCGTTAGATGATGAAAATAACTAGAGGCTCTCAAGAGCCTGTGTCGCTCACCTGATTCTACTTTGGTTTTGGAAATCATGTAAAAATAGATTAAAATCATAACAGATACCCTAATAATGAGTGAGGCCAAATTTGGTTTAATATTGGTCCTGTAATTTAATAAAAAATCCTGGTGGCCATCTTGAACAGTAAATCGGCAACAAAGTAGCAACACTTAATCAGCACCTCATAAGAAACATTTATGCCATGTTTTGGTTTCATTCCATTCAGTGCACCTCTAGAAGAAGCATTTGTATGTATTTCCCATAGGGTCTTATGTTAAAGGAAGTCCCCCTATTGGCGGCCATCATGGATGAAGGATCAGCTTCAAAGTAACAAAACTTAGTCAGCACCTCATAAGGAACATTCATGCCATGTTTGGTTTCAATACATTCAGTATGTGGTTCTCTAAAAGAAGACATTTGTATGTATCATCCATAGGGTCCTTTGTTAAACATTGTCCCCATCTGGCAGCCATCATGGATGAAGGATCAGCTTCAAAGTAACAACACTTGGTCAGCACCTCAAAAGGAACATGCATGCCATGTTTGGTTTCATTCCATTCAATGGTTCTCTAAAAGAAAACATTTGTACGTATTTCTCATAGGGTCCTATGTTAAACTAAGTCCTCCGCTGGCGGCCATCTTAGATTATGGATCGGCTTCATAGTAACAACACTTGGTCAGCACCTCATAAGGAACATTCATGCCATGTTTGGTTTCATTGCATTCAGTGGTTCTCTAATAGAAGACATTTGTATGTATTTCCCATAGGGTCCTATGTTAAACTAAGTCCCCCGCTGGCTGCCATCTTGGATGATGGATCATCTTCAAAGTAACAACACTTGGTCAGCACCTCATAAGGAACATTCATGCCATGTTTGGTTTCATTGCATTCAGTGGTTCTCTAAAAGAAGACATTTGTATGTATTTCCTATAGGGTCCTATGTTAAACTAAGTCCCCCGCTGGCTGCCATCTTGAATGATGGATCAGCTTCAAAGTAACAACACTTGGTCAGCACCTCATAAGGAACATTCATGCCATGTTTGGTTTCATTGCATTCAGTGGTTCTCTAAAAGAAGACATTTGTATGTATTTCCCATAGGGTCCTATGTTAAACTAAGTCCCTCTCTGGCGGCCATCTTGGATGATGGATCGGCTTCAAAGTAACAATACTTAGTCAAGACCTCATAAGGAACATTCATGCCATGTTTGGTTTCATTGCATTCAGTGGTTCTCTAAAAGAAGACATTTGTATGTATTTCCCATAGGGTCCCATGTTAAACTAAGTCCCCCGCTGGCATCCATCTTGGATTATGGATCGGCTTCAAAGTAACAACACTCGGTCAGCACCTCATAAAGAACATTCATGCCATGTTTGGTTTCATTCCATTCAGTGGTTCTCTAAAAGAAGACATTTGTATGTATTTCCCATAGGGTGGTATGTTAAACTAAGTCCCCTGCTGGCAGCCATCTTGGATTATGGATCGGCTTCAAAGTAACAACACTCGGTCAGCACCTCATAAGAAACATTCATGCAATGTTTGGTTTCATTCCATTCAGTGGTTCTCTAAAAGAAGACATTTGTATGTATTTCCCATAGGGTCCTATGTTAAACTAAGTCCCCCGCTGGCGGCCATCTTGGATTATGGATCGGCTTCAAAGTAACAACACTCAGTCAGCACCTCATAAGGAACATTCATACCATGTTTGGTTTAATTCCATTCAGTGGTTCTCTAAAAGAAGACATTTGTATGTATTTCCCATAGGGTCCTATGTTAAACTAAGTCCCCCGCTGGCGGCCATCTTGGATTATGGATCGGCTTCAAAGTAACAACACTCAGTCAGCACCTCATAAGGAACATTCATACCATGTTTGGTTTCATTCCGTTCAGTGGTTCTATAAAAGAAGACATTTGTATGTATTTCCCATAGGGTCCTATGTTAAACTAAGTCCCTCACTGGCGGCCATTTTGGATGATGGAACAGCTACAAAGTAACAACACTTGGTCAGCACCTTGTAAGGAACATTCATGCTATGTTTTGTTACATTCCATTCAGTGGTTCTCTAAAAGAAGTCATTTGTATGCATTTCCCATAGGGTCCTATGTTAAACTAAGTCCCCTGCTGGCGGCCATCTTGGATGATGGATCGGCTACAAAGTAACAACACTTGGTCAGCACCTCCTAATGAACATTCATGCTATGTTTTGTTTCATTCCATTCAGTGGTTCTCTAAAAGAAGTCATTTGTATGCATTTCCCATAGGGTCCTATGTTAAACTAAGTCCCTCACTGGCGGCCATTTTGGATGATGGAACAGCTACAAAGTAACAACACTTGGTCAGCACCTTGTAAGGAACATTCATGCTATGTTTTGTTTCATTCCATTCAGTGGTTCTCTAAAAGAAGTCATTTGTATGCATTTCCCATAGGGGCCTATGTTAAACTAAGTCCTCCGCTGGCGGCCATCTTGGATGATGGATCAGCTACAAAGTAACAACACTTGGTCAGCACCTCCTAATGAACATTCATGCTATGTTTTGTTTCATTCCATTCAGTGGTTCTCTAGAAGAAGTTCAAAATGTAAAAAGTTAACGCCGACGACGGACGACGACGGACGACGCCGGACGACGACGGACGATGGACGACGGACGCCAAGTGATGAGAAAAGCTCACTTGGCCCTTCGGGCCAGGTGAGCTAAAAATAGTATAACAGTAAAGATACATACAGCTTTGTTTGGATTAATTAATTTAGAGTGTTGTTTAATTTTTGTTCTAGATTACCAATATTTCTTCTTCTTATAACATATAATGCAATGTTATTTCTGATTAGTTATTTAAAAGGCCTCAAGAAAAGTTTCTTTGATAGGATTTAAAAAAAATAAGTATTAAAATATTTAAACTTTAATTTGTGTTGATTAAAGATGCAATCATTTCATTATTTTGTTCTTTTTTGTACATCAGGAATGGTCGTTTTTCATAAAATATGTTGAATTTCTGGAAAAAGATACTAAATCTTGGTTCGAGTTCTTAAAAATGCAAATATTTCTTCTTTTATATCAGAAATAATGCACGTCAATTGCAATCAGTCATAATTAATGCATTCAGATAATTAATTTTGTGTAAGATATGAATAATTTAAGGATAAATATACATACACTTTTGTTTTTATTAAATAAGAATTCAATAATTTCTCTTTTTTAATGGAAATTATTGGAATGCCTATGGTTTTTTGTACTTTTTATGGTTCAGGATTGGTTGTTTTTTATAAAAATCAAAATAATATCTGAGAAAATATACTAAAATGTTGTTCACATTGTTTAAAATTACCAATTAAAAAATAATGCAGTATTATTTGTAACTAGTTATTTCAAAGTTCTCCAATAAGATTTTTTTTGTAAGAATTTTGATAATGTAAGGAGAATAATACTTAAACTTTTGTTTGGTGTTGAATACGAATGCAATAATTTCTTTATTTTGACAGAAATTATGAACCGTCATTTGATTTAGGTACTTTTTGTACATCAGGATTGGTTGTTTTTCATAAAATATGCTGAATTTCAGGGAAAAGATACTAAATTTTTGTTCGCATTGCTTAAAAATGCAAATATTTCTTCTTTTATATTAGAAATAATGCAACTTCAATTGCAATCAGTCATAGTTAATGCATTCAGATAAGTACTTTTGTATAAGATATTAATAATTTAAGGATAAGTATACATAAACTTTTGTTTTTGTCAAATAATAATTCAATAATTTCTCTATTTTAATGGAAATTATTGACCACCTATAGCTTTTTGTACTTTTTATGGTTCAGGATTGGTTGTTTTTTATCAAATCAAAATAATATCTGAGAAAATATACTTAA